TGATGGGGAAGCCGCGGATGGGGAAGCCGCTGATAGCCGGATACATCCAAGGCTCCATTCAGACTCCAAAGTCTGCCCCTAAAACTAGATCTGGAAGGAGCAGATACATCAAAGGCTCCATTCAGACTCCAAAGTGTGCCCCTAAAACTAGATCTGGAAGGAGCAGAAGCGCAACACCACCACCCCCTTTGCGCTTGCTGGCCTCCCATCTCCCCGCACAAGCGAGCGTCAGGTCAAGTTTTATTAAAGGGCCACAGATCCATAGAAAAGCGAGTGTCATGCAAGTGGAGTAGAGCCCAGGGGGTAGGATCTGGCCCGGCCCAGACTCATGGCTCCAAAAGCAGTGCAGAGTTTGGCCAGCAGCAAGGGGTGGGAGTCCTGAGTTATTTCCTAGGCTGGGAGGTGGTGGTGGCGGCAGCTCGGATTCAGCACACCCTCCGCTGGCCAAGGGGGGCCACCGGGGCGACCCTATGTCATCTCTGCGAAGGGAGGTGGCACCCCAAATCGTCACCAGGATGCACCCCCGATTTCTGCCCTCATTAGGGCTCACCCCCACGTCCCACTTCTTTCCCTCCACTGCTGCTGTCATGACGAATTAGCCCTTTGGAGATTCCCCCCCCCCATTCTCTTCCCCTCAACTCCACAAGTTTGGCAAACCAAACACACACACCTCCTTCGAGCGAGAAAACAAAGATCCTTCTATTCTCCCGGCCAACGGAAGCCAAGGCCTCCCCTTGCCTCCCCCCCCCCCAAACACCGGCCAGCCGCCAAGAGGGATCTCCAAGCACAACCAGCTCAAGAGGGCCCTTTGCCCCACAACCCAGCCCCCTAAGTCCTGGTTCTCTTGGTCCTAGAGAGAGGTGGAGGAGAAGACAAGATAGGAGAGGACAAGGCGGGGGGGGGTTTGCTTGCCACGATGGAGAACAAGAAACACACCAACGTTTCGAAAAATGTGCATCTCGTGCAAGGAAGTGGCCGGTGATAACAGTGGGATTTTTCCTCGCTGGTCTCACAGGGGCGACTGGTTCCTTCTGGACAGCCGTCAGGTGCGACACGTAGCTGTCGGTTTGTTTTGCTGCGGGGTCTCAGCCTACCTATCGGGTAAGTCAGATTTTTTTCTTTTTAATACTTTTTAACCACAGAGAAGGGAATCCGTGAATACCGATCCCGCAGATACAGAGATCCCACTCTATTGAAGTGGCCTTTTCCACTGACCATCCCTGGCAGGAAATGCAATAGGAAACAGTCCACCATACCACTTATATGTTAATTAAAAAGCAATGGAGATCCAACCTTGATGACCCCTTTTCGATATTTTAACTACATTAGACAATTGATTTGAAATGCCAACTCTGACCTTTATGAAAATCTTCAATTCTCTCTAGTAATCTGAAGTCAATACGTTAGGATCTCCCCTATCTGCAGGATTAGTATCTGCTGATGCACTTATCCACTGTCTGAAAATACTAAATTAAAAAAAAACCAGAAATCTATATTTATGAGTATTTTCTGGGTGTATTTATCAGACCTGGCAAATAGAGGGAGCTAGAGAAGATGCCAGAGATGGTGTTTCAAATTTCCACGTTTTCCAGCATCTGCAGGGGGGTCAGGCTTGGATCCCATTCCCCTTGGATACAGCAGTCCCATTGCATTAAGCTTTACTGTTTTTTTTCCTCAAAGGTGATCTCTTGAACTAGAGTCCAATGCCATTTTGAGGTCACTCAAAACCACCTCAAGCTCATCTTTCTGTCTCTTTGCTGATTAGAAGTCATAACAGGAAGGCATGCTGCAAAGCCTTGAAACATGGATTTTTTCTTCTTCTTCTCCTTTGCAGCTCTTTCCATGTACATGCTGGTCCTGTTCGAAATCGAAACTGGGATCTCGGGTGCTTGCATCCTGTCCTCCGGCATCGTGGTCTTGGTGCTCACCGTCACGCACGCCCTCATCCGGTCATCCAGGACCGCGCCGGGCAGCCGAGGAGAGTTCTCGCACACCCTCTACGAAAACGATTCTGCCGGTGAAGCACCAACAACTCACCTCAACAACACCAAGACTGTGGTCGGGCCCAGGGCCCGTCCCGAGATCCATCGCGAGTTCTCCTACCCATCAGGCATGGAGGCCAAATCCTGCCTAACCACCCCCGGGAGCAGCAACTTGGCCTCCTCGGGGAGTGGCGAGCCGGCCTCCGAGAAAGAGAGTTACGCCGTCTCCCGGATGCACTGCACGCTGTCGGCGGAATCGGCGCTCCTGCAGGTCCACGGAAAACCATGGGAAGGGGTCACACGCGAAATGAAGAACGTCCTTTCCCGGAAACCCGTAGGATCCGGGAAAGATTCGACCTTGGTGTGAAAACTCGGCATAGGAAAGTCGCTTCCGTGCTGAACGCTATGTAGATCCAGCCTTCTCCAGCCCAGGAAGGAACAAGATTCCCGCGCCCACCCAACCTCTCCTCTAAAAGCTGGTGGAACTCACCGCCACAAGCTGGGGTGACCAAGACAGGCGAGGGGATTCCCAAGACAAAGGTGGGAGATCAATAACCCAAAGCAAGGAGATGTTTCAGGAGCAGCTCGACCCGCTCCACCTCCCCTGTGAGTCGGCGGGAAATGGTTTGTTAAAAAATCTGCGTGAGCGGCTGTCTTTTAATAAAAATAAAAACCAGATTTCGTTCTGCTGACATCACTTTCAAAACAGGTCTGAATTAATCCCGTGACTCATGCCGGTTTCTCTCCGTCATCCGAACGGCCCGTTTTAGCTTTTATTCCAAAGCAAAGCTTCAGAGTGCGTGTTTATTTATAGACATAAATCTACATTTATATATACATACTCTGGATTACCAAACCAGCTTAATAGAGATAATTTGTTTTGCTTGTCAAAGAGAGGTACGATAGGAATACATTTATATACATACTCCGGATTACCAAACCAGCTTAATAGAATTTATTTTGCTTGTCAAAGAGAGGTACGATAGGAACCCTGTGGTCCACGTGGAGACTGCTTCCAAGCCCACAGAGGATGCTGGAAAACACGGATAACAGGGAACATTAGTTTAATAGCAAATGATTTATATAGCGTGGTCTCTGTCTCCCTCTAGTGGCCACTTCTGACCACTTCATCTTTATAATATTTTAAAAAATGCATAGCCTTCAAATCTATTTCTAAAGGTGAAGCTATCAGAACTGGCCACTAGAGGGAGCCAGAAACCATGTTGTAAGCATTTGCTGGTAAAAGAGTGTTCACTATTATCTGCGTTTTTCAGCATCTGCAAAGGGGCTTGCAACCAATCCCCTGAGGATACGGGGGTCCTACTGTAGCAGAAACAGTGACCATAATAATGTGGCTAAAAAAAGTCTTGCAGATGAAAGAAGTGATCTCCAACTCCAGGCCCTTCTCAGAGTTAACAAGGTAAAAGCTTTGTCTCGGTCCGATCAACAGCGTTTCCCCCTTTTGACGTTACGCTTTCAAGTATGCAAGAACATGAGAAGAGGGCTGAGGATCAAAGAAAGGGACGGAAACAGATTCAGAAAACGTCGATTCACATTAATTTTGATAAATATGCAACAGTATCCTACGCAGGATCCCTTTAAATTTTGGCTACCGTGACGCCTCAGCAGAACTGCGTATTGCACAGAACAAGCCCTGGTTTGCAGGCCAGGGAGCTTCTTCCTCTTGGATCAGTTAAGTCTGCTTTGAAGGCTTGGGTGCAAATGTCTCCACGTGGATTCGGCCCCACCTCCTGCCACAAGCCCCTCCCCATTTCCAAAATGCCCCTCCCAAACTGCAGTCCTGGCTCTAACTTTAAAAAGTTTTCCCATTAACAACAAACCATGCTCTACCCATGAGGCTGCAGGAATCCTCACTCTCTCTCTAGCCATCCCAACAAAACCATAAAGAAAATTCAGCTGCACCCCCTCCCACTCCAACCTGCTCAGAAAATCCTAGTGTCCCGTATTTCTCTACAATCATTGTTTTTTCCACTGGCGGCTGTTATCTTTCCAGAGGCTTGATATTCAGATTAACGAGAATACTGGTGTGTGTTTGTTTTTTAAAGAAAAAAATTGGTTCAGTGTGCATGCCAGGAGGCCTCCCTGGGCGAGCAGACCGCAGATCTATCAAACACTCTCGTGCTTCTATCCGAACTGGCGGGTGGAGGGTGTCACGAGGCTTCCCAGTTTTCCCGAGCTACCGGCGGGCCATATTCAGCCGATCCTTAATAGCCGTTGCATGCCGGAGAAAGCCTTCAATGCTCTTGAAATACACGCCACTGTCCTTCATGTTCTTGATGGCACTGGAGAAGGAAAGAGCAGATGGTCAATGTTACAGAGGCGATGGTGGTGATCTGGCTACTACAGTAGGACCCCCCCATATCTGTGGGGGATGGGTTCAAAGCCCCCCAGCAGATGCTGAAAATCGTGGATAATAACAACGAACACTATTATAACAACAAAAGCTATACATAGCATAGTCTCTGGCTCTCTGTAGTAGCCAGTTCTGGTAACTTCATCTTTAGAAATAGATATATCTAGGATTTTTCTTTTGATAATGTTTAATATTCTCAGAATCGACTCAGTGAATACTTATCCCGTGGATACGGGGGTCCTACTGTACCCGTATGCCAATAATGGAGAAGATATTTCCGTTTCTTTACTTTCTCCATTCCCAGCAGCTGCGCCTGGGTGTAGGTATGAACACAAGTACCTGCAGGCATACTCTACGGTGTAAATGGCTCCTTGGCTCTGCTCCTCCCAGCTCTGCATGTCAGCCTGCAAAGGCAGAAAACAGACACACCCTCGCTAGATTGGGGAAAATAAGTCAGTTGTCTTTGGTAACTCCTTTAGGTCACTTCCCCATTGGTTCAGATAATTTACCTAAATTATAAATTACATTATATTATAAATGACATTAAATTAAGTGATGAATGAAACTAAAGTTATAAATTAAATTAAAACAAAATTTATTATTTAATTTATCATTTCATTTAATCCACGGGGTCCCTTCCACATTTTCACACAGAACTTACCTTATGCTGAGCCAGTTCTGGAAGGGACCGCCTGACGTGCTCCTGAAGCCGATACAAAGCAACTGAAGGTTCGTTGGCCAAGACGTACATGCTTTCCGTGAATTTGTCTGTCACTAACGAGAGAAAGAAATGTAATTCCCCCCCACACTTTTATTTCTTAATACTCGTGTTTTTAAAAAAAACAATTTTGGCCTATCACAAGGCTTTGGTAGACGAAATTAACAGTCTGTGTAACAAATAAAGAGAAATTTAAAAATTGAGCTGCCGTGATTAGAACCCAGAACTGGCAGAATTCCTTTCTGAGATCCAAATGACTAACATTCTAGACCTCGTTGTGTTGAAAGGTAACTTTTTGAGATCCTGGCTAAAAACTCAACACATTGGTTAGTGGCTCCCAACCTTGGGTCCCCTCTCCAAAGGACTACAACTCCCAGAAGCCCCTACCCCTCCGCTGGGCTGGCCAAGGATGCCGGGAGTTGTAGTCCCTGCGCACTTGGGGGGCCCCCAGGATTATCAGGACGCACTGATTCAAACCCATGGTTCTCCGTCTTAGGTCACCCAGAGGTTCCCGGACTACAACTCCCAGAAGCCCTTCACTGGGCAACCTGGGGATGCTGGAGATTGTATTCCCAGCGTAAGCGTGGGTGGGTGGGGTTTGGCCCCTGATTTGAAGAACTCAAAGAGAAATCCTCCTTAAGTTCCCATAATGAGGCTGGATGGGAAACGTTAGTAACTTGTTACCTTTCTTCACTTTCAGCTGCATCTCCGGCTCCTCCATGGCCAGCCCTTTTTTAATCAGGAGAGGGAAGGCGTGGCGGAAGAAACCCTCCCGGAAGTGATGTCCTGGCGGAGAAGCCAATTCCGGGAGATCGGTCCGTCGCCCAAAACAGTCTGATGTTGAAACTCTGGACAAAGACCAAAGGTTCCTAGGCGCTTTAGGTTCCTCATCCCCAAAATAGGAGGCGATGAAAAACCTTCAACGTCTTCCGGAGGGGAAGACCCGGAAGGGCGGCTTTCCCCCTCCCCCACTTCCGATGCCGGAGTTCTAAGGAAGAGCACTTTCGGGTCGGTAGGAGGGGGGCTAGGGCGGAGGGTGGTCATTTCCGGGAAGGAAGTCCCTTCCGGGCGTGGCCGTGGATGACCGGAACCGGAACTCTTCTGACCGCCCCCTCCCACTCCACCCCCTCGACCAATCCCCTTCTGCCCTGTGGCCGGGAGAGCCAATCCCGTGGGCCGACGAGCGGGTATTTCCGGTGCCTCTCCCCCTCTTCCGGTCGCGGGGCCTGGTGGGCCCAGGAGGAGAGCCTCCCCGGGGCAACTCAGGTGGACTGCTCCTGCCCTACGGGGCTCGTTGGGCGCCCCCTCTCACCCCACCCCGCCCCTCTCTCTTCCTCTGGCCGCCCGAGCCGAGGACGATGGGCTCTGGGCGTCCTGCGCCCGTGGACTACAACTCCCAGCAGCCTCCGTCACCAGCTGTGCTGGGTCCAGGAGTTATGGGAGTTGTAGTCCAAGAGCCCCTGGGGGACCCAACGTGGGGAACCCCTGGCCTGGAGCCTCGGGTTCCCCCCTCTTCAGCTGTTATTGGACTGCAATTCCCAGAAGCAGTGCTGGTCAGGATTGATGGGAGTGGTAATCCATGAACATCTGGGTAACCCAAGGTTGGGAAACTGCTGGACCTGAATCTTGGGTCCTCAGATGGACTACGACTCCCAGAAGCTTCCACCACCAGCTGTGGCTGGGGCCAGTTGTGATGGGACTTGTTGTCCAAGAACCTCCCGGAGTGACCCAAAGACTGGAACCTTGCATCCCCAGGGGTTCTTGAACTACAGTGCCCAAAATTCCCCAGCCAGCATGGCCCAAAATTAACCCGGTGCGGATTATGGACCAAAACGTTTTTTCTCCAAAGGTCCTCCTGGACCAAAGCTTAATTAGAATTATTGAATAGAATTTCAGAGACAGGATCTATTGGGTCATTCAAGCTGAGAACCTCAGGAATATCTCTGCAAAATGTTTAGTTGTTTTTTAAACACCGTTTTAGAGATTTTTTCAAAGCCAAGCCACCAAGTTTCCTGCTCTGTTGTTGAAATCCTGTCGTTTCTCGATTTTTCAGGACCCAACGAGGACCAGGCACGCCACGCATTCCAGCGTTTTGTGGGCTCTGGAATGTCCTCGGGAAGATTGGGGCAGAAAAATGACTCACATCGCTGCGGCGAGAGACTTGGAAGGGTCTTCTAGTGATGGGGATGACGACGACACAACAATCATCCTGCTGTATCCGCACTCGGAGAGAAAAGATGACTTGCCTGCCGAGGAAGGCATTCCGGTTTCAGACAGTAAGTTGCTAACGTTGGAATGCGGATGGTGAGAGAAGCAACATATGCCTGTTATCATAATTTATGTGTTATTTTTCCTTATCTCTTGTCATTCTTTCATAGTGGAGACTTAGAGGAGTAGTTGTAGGACAATTTTTTTAAAAAAAATCTGACAGCCCTCTCTATTTATTTTTATAGCATTTTTTCCTCTGCTCCATGTCTGGAAAAGCTCTCAGATTTACTTGCCTGCCCAGTTTAAAAAACACCAATATAGGCCTTGGAATTATCCATTTATTATTTGCTTGTTTGAAATGTATTTGCTGTGCCTTTCTCCTTTAAAAGGACCCAAAGCAGACAGTTCCAGAGACTGGGAGCTGCCACCGAGAAAAGGCCCCCTCTCCCGTGTCCCCACTAAAGGCACCTGCAAGGATGATGGGACCGAGAGGAAGCCCTTAACACCGGGGAAGGCTCATAAAGGGGCACCTGGTCCTTGAAACAGCCTTGGACCCGAGCCGTTCAGGCCTTTATAGGTTATCTATAGGAAAACTAAAACGACAACTCACCAAGGGCTGAAGGCTGGAGAAGGAAAATGACAAGCTTTTGGAATGGTTTCATAGTTTGGGTAGACCTGCCTGGCAAGCTTTCTGGATTTTATTTTCTCTTTTGAAATCCAGGTAGTGGGATTCTCAAGCATTCGACCACCTTGACAAATCGGCAGCGTGGCAACGAAGTCTCTGCCTTACCAGCTACTTTGGACAGTGAGTTCCCTTTACTGCTTGAAAGCAGAATTCTTTTGAATGATGCAGCAGCCGATTTCCGTGGATGCCGATGGTCTCAGGTGGAGGTGGAAACAAAGAAGATGGTGTAGAAGGGGGTTAGAAGGCATTTGAGTAATTGCTGGTTACTAAACCACTGCAAGAAACGTGGGCCCTTATTTCCTTCCTTCCGCCACCAGTCACACAGGGAAAGGTCTTAGCCAGCTTGCAGAAGGGCAGCAAAGAGGAGGCTTGAAATATAACTGACCATATAGGCAGAAAATTAAAAAATATACACAGTTCTTTTTTCTGAAAAGCGATGGCTGTGCTACTGAATGTATTTGGAGACAGAAAATTAAGCTCTTGCATGGTGAATCAGTTTACCCCCCTTGATTGCCGACTTATTGAGAGTTCCACTGAAATATGTGGCTTTGGAAGGATATTTTGGAGAAAGGGGGCTTCTGTACGCAGTTCCTTCCCTCCTGCCCTTTTGCATCTCCAAGTCAGGAAGGATTAGTTGACCTCAAGCCGATCTGTGTGTGTGTGTTTAAAAGAATTTCAGCTGCAGGATTGAATGACTGAAACTGAGAGTTTACAACCTTGCGTTTGCTGCCTTTTAGAGCATGTTTTAATTCTGGATTATTTTCTCTGTCCTGGCTTCTAAGCTCTGTCCATCCACCAGCTTGCAGCCCAGGGTGAGTTGCTCCTGTTGAAGGAAAGTCTACGAAAAGGTGAGTCGTGCGTAGACCTGTCACCATTTCTCAAGGATGGAGCGGCCTTTTTTCTTTTTCTGGAGACTCTTAAGCAGAAAATAGCTGTCTGGAAGGAACGCCGAAACTAATCAGGCATCTGTTTGCAGAGCCTGCCAGATTTCAGCCGTGGTCAGAGAGGTAGACTAAACTGATCTGGAGTGGATCCATAATTCTGTTTCTTCCCACCTCGTGCCAGTAATTACATCTTATTTAGCCTAACCAAAGGGACTTCTTGAGTTGGTGGTGAGGTTGCTGCTGCTACTTGGCTGATTGTTGCCACTCCAGTTGGGAGTTTTATCGCTTCACTGTCAGCTTTGGAATCTTAGAATCATGGAGTTGGAAGGGGTCCTGTAAGGCCATCCAGTCCAGCCCCGTCAGGGGTCCCATTATTGTACTGCTCTAACAGTCAGGAAGTTTTTTTTCCTGATCTTCAGATGACATCTGGCTTCCGGTCACTTTCGCCTATCCTGCACTCTCTGAGAGGATGGAGGACAGATCCTGCCCCTCCTCTGTAGGACCTTTCAAGGATTTGAATAGGGCTTTCCTGTCTCCCCTCAGTTGTCTTCTCTCAAGGCTAAACATGCCAAGTTCTTTCCTCCTTATATGGCTTGGTTTCCAGCTTCTGAACTGGCTGCAATTTGTCAGCATCCTCCTTCAAGTGTGGAGTCCAGAACTGGAACCCAGGACACTAACCAGTGTCAAATAGTCTAGTCCCTTGCAGGTTTCATAGACTCAACTTCTGTTTCTGCAGCTGCCTCACACTGTGGGCTTCTATTGTCCTGGGCAGATTCTGTTGTTCAGGCAAGCCGACTTTTTATTTTATTTTAATTTCAGGTGAAAACCTGTTAAATAAAGCCGACGAACGAGGCTTCACCCCATTGATGTGGGCGGCAGCGTTTGGGGAAATAGAGACTGTGCGCAGCATGCTGGAATGGGTGAGCACGCTGGAGCCGGGCAGCCTGGGTGGGGGGAAGGGACTTTGTCCATGCCTTCACTCGGGGCATCTACCCTCTTGTCTGTTCTCCCTTGCAGGGTGCCGACCCCCACGCCCTTGCAAAAGAGCGAGAAAGCGCCTTGTCTTTGGCCAGCACCGGAGGGTACACGGATATCGTCCTGCTCCTGCTGAAGCAGAATGTGGACATCAACTCATACGACTGGGTAAGCCTTCACGGTCTCGTGGGCTGATCCGCCTCTCCTTAGGACTTTGGGGGCTTTGACTGAGTGGGATTGTAGCGAGATGACAAGGACCCTCATCTTCCAAAGGCTCCAGGTAGTCCGAGCCTCGGACAGTGTTGTGGGTGCTGTCGAGTCACCTTAGGATGACCCGAATCACAGCTTTGAGGCACAGTAGGGCCCCCTCATCTGTGGGATCGGGAGCCGCGGTTTCGCTCCTCTGGAAACATGGGGGGGAAATTAGAAATACGTATTTTCACGATGCGTTTATCAGAACTGACCACTAGGGGGTGCCAGAGACTGTGCTGGTGGCCAGTTCTGGGAATGACATAAAAGAAATATATTTCTCTTGCAATGGCTATCCACCCCACAGTCTCGGGCTCCCTCTAGTAGCCCATTCCGGGAACTTCATTATTTGAAATAGTGATTTATAAGATTTTTCTTTGAATATTCTCCTTCACAGAATGGCGGGACCCCGCTTCTGTATGCAGTGCGTGGAAACCACGTGAAGTGTGTGGAGGTCTTGCTAGGTAAGTCCTGCACTTGATCGGCTGTGGGAAGCAAGAGTAGCACCCAGGTGAGCAGGAAGTCACGGCCAAGTCAGGAACGTGATTAGCCTCCGCAGGATCTCAGTGGCGCCCTTTGGAGGACTTGACATACACACACACACACACCGCCTAACAGCTGCGGTGCAGCCTTTTTGACTAAGAAACATGCTGTGCAGAAAAGGATCTGGGAGGATTGAGGAGAGATCCTCCCCCTCTTCTGTAGGGGCGGGGATGACGGACCTGATGTGGTCGGTCCAGGGAGATTCCCGACTCACTGGGTGCTTGAACCTGTCTCGTTCCACCCGTTCAGCTGCTGGGTCAGCTCGGTCGGCACCGACTTCCGTTTTTTCCTTCTCTGTGTTCCTCCAGGGCGAGGTGCCGACCTCACAATCGAAGCAGACTCGGGTTACACGCCGATGGACCTCGCCGTGAATTTGGGACACCGGAAAGGTATGTTTTTGGATCACAAGCATGCGTTTCTGTCACTCGGGGGGGGGGAATCACGTCGGCCGTTGATGCCGGCCAAAAGCCTCGGTACTTGAATGAACTCATCCACCGTCTGAAAATATTCAAATAAAAATCCTAGTAATAGAGATTTCTAAAGATGAAGTGGCCCAAACTGGCAGCCAGAGGAAGCCAGAGAACATGATAGACGTCGCATTTGGTATTAAAATCGGGTTTGCTACCATCCCCATTTTTCAGCATCCACAGGGGGCTTGGCACTGATCCCCGACAGATACAAGGTCTAGCTTAATCTCTAAATTTTAGGGTTAATCTTAATCTCTAGCTTTTTATTTACATTTACGTTTCTGGTGAGCACAGAGCAATTTCTGTAGCTTTCCTCCACCTCCTCCCAATATCAGACCCAGCTGAGAGGGAGCGAATGGTCTGAGGCTCTCTAGAAGACTGAATGGAGTTTCCATATCTGCAGGAGAGTTGGGGGGGGAATAGCCGAGCGAGCTTCCCACCTTTAGGCAGCTAAGCGGTTCTCTTCGGGGCCTCTTATTTTGACTGCTCTGTCGTGTTGGATTCCAAACGGGCGTCCATCGTATGCATGCATCAAGCGCTTTAAATTTCTTGTTTTCCAGTCCAACAAGTCATTGAGAAGCACATCCTCAAACTGCTGCGGAACAAGGAGAGCGAGGAGAACCCGTAGGCAAAAGAGAAGCTGGGGGAGCTCCCTCTTCCCTTCGCTGCATTTGCTTTTTTGAGGAAATAACGTCGAGCGTGGCAAAGCCTGGGTTGGAGGATGCGGAGGAACGAAGCTTGTTTGGAAAAGTGCTGTTCCTTGGGAAAGTGCCACGGGTGCGCGGTTTCACTTGGCAAGATCAAGATGGTGCGCTTCTAGTCGGGGTGGTTAGCCGGTCGTCTTTCTTACGATGTCCGCCAAGAAGCCACCCTGCACGCCAGGAGGAAAAAGGCTGTAATTTCCTCTCTGCGGCACTCACAGGTGGCAGAGGTATGTGTGGTTATCCTTTGTCGGCCAAAGAAGACTCTTTTGTTTTCCGCATCGCGCCGAAACTTTGCACACAAGAGTCCTTTCTTTTTGGAGTCTTGGAAACGGACCGATGTGTTTTCAGATAAGCCAAAAACTTGGTTCAAAGCGCCTTGAATGCCAGCCTGTTGAATACTTAACTCACTTAAGGATGATGAGCAAGGAGGTCTAGAGACTTGAGGTCTAGAGGCTTCTGTAAAATTTCCGTGAGCGGCCTTTTCTTAATGATAATTAAAAAATGGGGATTGTTCTGTGAATGCCGTTTTCGAAACAGGCTTGGATCAATTCCCGGCTCGTTCTGATTTCCGATCATTTCATCCTTTGTCACAAAGCAACATTTCAGTAAGTGTGTGTTTGTTTATCTTTGAAGATCATTGAATGCATCAGCACACTTATCCCGTCTGAAAATACGAAAAGAAACATCCCAGAAATATAGATATCTAAAGATGAAGTTAACAGGAGTGGCCACTAGAGGGAGGCAGAGACTAATTAAACTGTTTGCTGTTATCCACGTTTTTCAGCATCTGCCGGGGTTTTTGAACAGATTCCTCTGTAGACACGGGGGTCCTACAGTTATATAAACACAGAATGAGACCCAGGGAGTATCACCAAAATAAAATCCTGTTTTGGTTTTCCACAGTTAATTGGAGAAAAGATAGGAAGCTGATATCCTGAGTCTTTGAAGAGTGAAAATTTTTATTTAACAATTCATTGCCCTTTTTTATTTCGGGAAGACCTTGGCAGTAAGTACAGCAAACACTATACTGTACATTGTGGGGTCTCTGGCTCCCTCTTGTGGCCTAGTCTGGTGATTTAATTAGAAATAAAGATTTGTGGGGGTTTACTTTTAATATTTCAATTACTTTCAGACTCTGCACGCGAATATGCACATTTTATGTGCCCGAAGGAAGGGGGAACCTTTTTAAAGGCCCGAGTGTCGGCTGTATCCCTAGAATTGGTTTAATGACAAGCTGTCTTCCCCCCCCAAAAAAAACCTTGTTAGAATGTCTAAAGATCCATTGAGGCAGAATACATTGTTGGAAATCTTGACCAAGAGATGTCCAATTTATTTTTTGAACAGATATTTAAGTAACAGATAACAATTCTTCTACAGTCATGAGGCATGCTTATGCTGACAGGTGGAAGGATGATGGCTTGGGGGAAGGAATCAAGACCTCATGTCTTTGAAACAAACTTTAGTAATCCACAGTCCCTCCCCCCCAGTCCCACAAGTATCCTGCATTTTCAACACACCTTCAACACAACCGTGACAGCCTTCCCAAAATAAACAAAACTACAGTAGGACACCCATATCCATGGGAGTTTGGCTCAAAGCTTCCTGCAGATGCTGAAACCCCAGATAATAGCAAATGTTACGTACTGCATGATTTAAAAAAAATCTAGAAATGTGTATTTTCACCATGTATTATCAGAGCGGGCCACTAGAGGGAGTCAAGAAACCATGAGTTCAAGAGCAAGAATACACAGCATGGTCTCTGGCTTCCTCTAGTGATCAGTTCTAGTCAAAGATGGTGAAAATACATATTTCTGGATATTTTCTTGTAATATTTTCAGACTGTTGATAAGCAAAACCGCAGATACAGGGTCCTACTCTCTTGTAACTGCTACACCATTTCTGCTTCAAAGTGAGATTTAAAGTGGAATGTGACGGGTGGCGCGTTCCCAGGAGCAGAATTTCACAGGGACCTTGAAGCAGAGCCAAACATGCCCGGGGACATCACAAATTAAGTGCTGGCTTGTTGAAAGCAGACGTGACACCACAGCCGTTTTGCACATGGCTCTTTGAAATTAAAAAGGAAGGAGCGTGCCGACAGGAAACCTTGCTAAACAGCTTTGTGTAACATTTTTAACGGCAAAGAGACCAGCTGATATAGTTGGTTTTTAAGCACTGGCTGATTACAGGGTGCCTCTGTTCTCTGTTAAACGGTTTGCACGGAACTGCCACAGATCCGTCTTCTCATGGGTGGCAACAGTGGTACCCTTGTGTTCGGATCACAACATTTAAAGACTAGCTGGGTTCTCTTTTTTCACATTATTCCCCCCCGCCCCCCGGTACACCGGTACAAGCCTATCATCTGCAAAAAGCAAAGCTAGAACCTGCAGGAGGGCCCCTGTATCCCCACAGTCTTCACTTACCCATGGCCTGAAAATATCGAAAGGAAAAAAACACCTAAAACTATGTATTTTCACCATGTATTAACCAGATGTGGCCACTAGAGGGAACTGCACTGTGTACTCTTTTTTCTTCTTCTTGGTCTCCCGCTCCCTCTAGTGGCCAATTTTGCTAATACATGGTGAAATTTTTTAACCATTTAGTGTACAGTGGTTGCTATTATCTGTGGTTTTTCACATCCGCAGGGGGGCTTGGAACCAACCCACTGCAGATATTTCTCTGGCCAGCGTAACTCAGCTACGAGAACCCTCCAAAAGAAGGCACAGAGGCACCTAAGCCCTCCTCAGACTAGTCTGGTTTTCCCCGACGCTGGCCTCTAGCCTCTTTCTTTCCCTTACTCCTAACGCGAACAATACTGAAAAGGACACAGGAAATGAACAAACAACCAAAAGGCATTCACAACATCGGCATCGAGGACTGTTGCGGGTGGGGGACGTGGTCGGATTCCTCCTTTCATGGCGGCAGCCACCAGCACCAAACGCTTCTGAACCGACGATTTCCTTTCTTATCCGGGGCAGCTCGCTTCTTGAGATTATTGCGTCCGTAGCTGGTAATCTAGGACAGAACAGAAGAGCCATCTTATTGGGGACACCTTCTTTGCCATATTAAAAAAACAACAAAACAACCCAACAAAACCAGATCATGGAAACCCACCGCATCACTCTTGTGACGAGGCACGGCCATGAGGGACAGATCCCCCCCTGCATTCACAAGCGGAGGAAGGAGTAGCGTTGGCGAAGCATCTCTTTACATACCTCCGTTCTGCGTGATGTAACGCACCCAGGGCAATGCCTGATAGCCACTTTTCTCAATTATCTTTAAATAGCGGACCTGGAAGAGGAGGCATACGTGAGATGAGCTGTTCTGATTGAGCCCAAATTCCTCCCTGCATCCAGTTTATCAAGAGGACGCGTGCAAAACTGCACTCTTTTAAGCTCACATTCTCTAGCAACCTATACAGTGGAGTTTATTGCTTCTGATAGTGGAGGCAAAATACGGTACCACCCCCTCCGATGATTAATTTATCCATTGCCTGTAAATACTAAACAAAAAACCCCTCAGAAATACCTACAGTCGGTCTCCCATATCCATGGAATATTGGTTCCAACCCCACCACCACCACGGATGCTGAAAAACGTGGATGATAGTGAATGCTATTGAATGCAGTACAGGGCATGGTCTCTGGCTCCCTCCTGTGGCCAATTCTGGTACCCTCACCTTTAGAAATACATATATTTCTTGGGAATGTTTGTTTTTAATATTTTCATGCCCAAAGATAACGGGAAACTGTGGATACTGATCCCACAGATACGAGGGCCCCCATGCTAATCAAATCCTAGCCAGGGCCAACAGAGAAGTTGCAAACGAAGCTAGATGGTGCCTCACCTGGATTCCAGAAGTGGTGAAATACGGGATTTCGAACTTAACGCTGATGGGCGGCTTCCCTTCCTTGTCTTCTGCTTCCACGCTTGGGAGCCCAAAATGGGCCCGCATGAGGTATTCCTTCCCTCCCTACAGGAAGCCGGATGTCAGATCACATCTTTTCACACACACACCCGCCCAACCACTCTGGCAACCACGTTCTTTGGTTGTCCCACAAGCAACTTGGGAACGAGTCACGTCAACAAAATTTGGAGACCATATTCATTCCTTTGGAGACCCGAGCAGGTCTGAGCTACCCATATTCCACCCCCCTCAAAAAATGAGAACCGCTCCCTGACTTCTTTTGGGGTACAAAGAATTCTCTAGAGCTGTGTTTCCGAAGCTGGGGGTCCCAAAGTGTTTTTTTTTGGGGGGGGGAGGTTGCTTTACAGGCTTTGCAGCCTCTTCTAAATAATCCCTTCCTTGACCTTTCTAGGCGGCGTATTAAAGTTGGCCTGGATGTCTATAAGAAACGGGCGATTTGGGGGAGAACGAAGCCTCTACTTTCGCAGAAGGGGTGCCTTCACCCCTACTAAAAATGCCTTTTTAGGCACATGTGGTGGGTGTTGCAGGTGACCTGGGGATTATAAAAGGGGGTCCCGCCTCGAAAAAGGTTGGGAACCACCACATCAAGAGCCATCCACTGGCTGCGTAAATGCTATTTCCCTTGAAAATGGCATGAATAACCAGTTACACCCCCCAAAAGGTAAACTGGCCATCTCCAAAAAGAGGTGGGGGGAAATGAGAGGGGCTCCAGAATAAAGGGGTTGGGGGTGTCCAATCCACCATCCACTCTTTCCCCCATTGCCTAAGAAGGGTCCGTGACTCACACTGGGCTTATTAAAAACCAGCTTTTTTCCCCCTCCGAGAAAAAAAGGGAGGGGTGGGTGAGATCCCAAGTCGTGAGTCGCATCTTAAGACGGGGAGGGGGGGGGAACCTGAGTCAAATCACTGGTGGGACTTGAGTCAAGCCCCCCCTTTCCGTGCACGGGACTCACCGGGAAAGACTTGATGGACCAGACGATGGCGCTGTTCTCCGGCACCCACTTGACGCTCCCCACGGTTGTCTTGAACTTCGGGGAGTCGGCGTCGTTGGGAACCGGGATGTGGATCTCCACGTTGTTGGCGGTGGAGCGCCGCTTGAATTGACTCTTCGCCTGGAAAAGGTGGCAAGTCCCCAAAGTTAGCATGTCAGGCTGACACTCTCTTTTCCTCACCTTGGGGTGTAGACCGTAAAATCAATCAATCAATCAATCAATCAACCAACCTGGCAGAGCAAGGTAACCTTTAACATTTAATATCATAGGAGTCCCACCCCCTGCTCAAGGCAGGAACCCACATCCAAGTAGATTTCGCTCCCCTCCCCAGGTCCTGTCGTCATACTGCTCGAAACGTTCAAAACTTTTCTTCTTGACATTCAGCCTCAATCCGGGTTCCTGAGGCTTGAGCCCATGATGACACCTCCTGTACTCTGGGATGATGGAAGACAGATCCTGCCCCTCTTCTGGAGGACCACTTTTCAAGGATTTGAAGAGCGCTGTCCAGTTCTCTCCCGTCCGTCTTCTTTTCTCAAGGCTAAAAAGGCCCGGTTCTTTGCATCTTTCCTCCTTTAAAGGGCTTGGTTTCCAGTCCCCTAAATCTTCCTTTTTTGCCCTCCCTCGAGCTTGCTCCAGGTTGTCAGCATCCTTGCAGTTTCTATAACTGGACCCAGGACTCCAGAAAATGCCAAACAGAGGGGGGACCAGTACCTCGTGGGATTTAGACACTGGACCTCTGTTAGGGCCTCCTAAAATTGCATTTGCTTTTTTTGCAGCCACGTGGGCCCTGTCGGCTCCTGTTCAGCTTGAAGTCTTCATAGCTAGAAGTATATCTGTAGCTTCCCACGTCCTCACGATGCCTCCAGGATCTCCCCAGAAAGCCCTCTGGAGTTGTGTGGCAGAGGTGGAAGGAAAAATGGTCCAGGTGTTCCAGCCGGGAAACCCTGGGTTTAGCCCTTTGTGTCTGGGAGTGAAGAACGGCACTTCAGCGTCCCCCGCAGGAGAGGCTTTCAAAATCCCTCTCGCCACAATGCCTCCAAGTGGGTTGCAAGATGTTTTCTCTCGGCAATTTTGAAGAAAGCCACCAGAAAGGGACACTGGTGTGAGAGGAGCATCCAGCATCCTCTGGATTCAGAGGCTATTTATTTTTAATTTTGTTTTTATTGATAATGCTTGCACAGACGAAGAGGGTCTTTCTTACAGCCACCACCCTGGACACGACTCACCTTGATCATGTACTCAATACGGCTGTGGGAATGCTTTTCAATGACTGACTCAATCCAGATTAGCGGCTTTACCTGCAAGAGAAAAACAGATTGCAATTGATGGGTTTTCATACCTTCAAGAGAAGACCAAGGATTTCTTCTCCCTGGCCCAAAGGACCTGGGGTGGACCACTTCTCCAGCTACAGAGATACAGTAGGACCCCCAATATCCGTGGGGAATCAGTTCTAAGCCCCCCCCCCCCGCAGATACTGAAGACCGTGGAAGTAGAGAACCCTTTACACGGCGTGTTCTCTGGCTCCCTCTAGTAGCCAGTTCTAGTAAGGACAAGTTGAAAATTGCATATACTGTAAATAAGTATTTCTGGGGGGTTTTTTGCATATACTGTACTGTAAATAAGTATTTCTGGGGGGTTTTACGTAGTATTTTCAGGCAGTGGAGAAGGGAATCTGTGGATACAGATCCCATGGATAGGGGGTCCCACTGTATTTGCCCACTGGGTAGATCTGAAAACAGCTCCATCCCGGAGAGGCTAAGACAGAGAGATGGAAACAAAGATGTAGAGGCACCAGCTGGCACCTTATTATTACCAATGCAAAGAAATTGTTGTGTTTTTTTAATGCAAAACATTTATTTACAATGCAACCTATTCTGACCACAGAGCGCTTGCAGCGGTCGTCACACTTGAATTCTAGACCGGCCCTTGAACGGCCACAGCACGCCGGCCCCGAGAAACTTACATGAGTATTAAGGCGATAGGACATGAGCTCAAACTCCCCGTCTGGCGGGATGAAAGAGATGGTCCGGTCGTTCTCAAAGCGCGAGAGGCGGACACACTGGTGGAATTTCACGTCTTCCAGCTCCACGGATTTGCTTTTGCCTCCTGTCGGGGAAAGCACAGCGAAAAGGTCCCGGGGATTTGGTGAAGGCGGCTGAAGCCGTTCGAAGGAGAGAGAGGCACACACTCGCTCACGCGGGCGATGTTCTTAAGCACAAAAACGACACCAGCCGTATTGCAAGAGCTGGACTTGGAGACAGCTGGGCGATCATTTCCCCTTTTTTTGCTGGATTTTTCCACCCTCTGTGGCTGGCAAAACTATCCACGCAGAGGATAAGCAAAGCCGCCCGGTTCCCAGAGAGAGAAAAGCGGCATCCGCACGTCTCTGGTGAACTGAGTCACAAAGTGTTTGGGAGCCCCTACCCAGGTGCAGGCTCTCCCTGGGCAACGTCCCTGTTTTTTTCCTTGCTCTCATCACTGTGACCTTTTCTAAACTAAACGACTAATGGCAAAGCGAAATTATCCTGTTAAAAGGGAACAAATGTTCAGAACAATACCTGAGAATAGCAGATAATTTATTTGTGTTTTTTTCTGCAGAACCAGAGGACCCCCATATCCGTAGGGGGATCACTTCCGAGCCCCCTCTGTGGATACTGAAAAGTACAGATTATGGCAAACGCTATTATAACAGCGAACGCTACGTGTAACATGGGCGGTTCGGATATCTTTGTCACTAGAAATATATATTTTTGGGTTTTAATATTTTCAGACTACAGATAAGGGAATCGGCGGATACCGTGGTCCTCCCATATATTGAAACTGTGCTTTAAAGGCAGATGTTAAACGCAGTCCCCCAAAAGCCGGCTTTAAAAGGAATTCCCTACAGATGAAAGGCCCAGAACGTTATAATTTTAGCTGCGCCCAGAATTGGTTCCTCTGAGGAGGAAGGAAGAAAGGGGGTGGGGGTGGGACGGCGGACATACTCACGGCCAGTGTTGTCAAAGAGAACTTTGTCGTTTAAGCCCAGACGGAGTTCTGGCATGCCGGAGAGGAACACCCTCATTTTGATGGACCCCACAATCTCGCTGCGTAGGACATTTCCGTTCGCGCTCACCTGAATGGTGGGAAGAAGAATCTTGAGGTCGAGATTCCAACAAGACAAACACTGAGTACGGTTCTGTATCTGCCGGCTTAGCCGTGCCTGCTGCTCACTGCATTTTAAAAAGGAAGTGGACCGTCTCAAATAAAGAAGACAAGTAAATGCCTCTTTGAGGAGGTTCTATATACAACAGGGCTGGGGTATCCGGAAGAGATCAGCTCCAAGCCTATCCGTGGATGCCGAAAACTGTGGAAACATCAAAACGCTAAACATGGCATGGTCTCTGACTCCCTCCAGTGGCCAGTTCTGGTAAATACATCCTAGAAATGCATATAAGCACATATTTTTTTTAAAATTTAGTACAGTGGTGCCTCGCATAGCGGCATATAAGCACATATTTTTAAAAAATTTAGTACAGTGATGTCTCGCATAGCAATTGCTTCGTATAACGATGAAATCGCTTTGCGATGAAGATTTTGTGATCGCTTTTGCGGTCGCTTTCCGATGTTCCCTATGGGGGAATTTCACTTTGCGCTGATCAGTTCCCTGCTTGGGGAACCGATCATCGCAAAGCAATGCTTTTTTAACAGCTGATCGGCGGTTTCAAAATGGCCGCCCGCTGTTTTCTGGGATGGATTCCTCGCTTAACAGGCAGCGAAAATGGCCGCGCTATGGAGGATCTTTGCTGAACTGTGAGTTTGAAACCCATAGGAACGCATTTATCGAGTTTTAATGCGTTTCTATGGGCTTTTTTGTTCCGCATAGCGACGAAACCATATAGCGATGATTTTTCCAGAATGGATTATCGTCGCTATGCGGGGTACCACTGTATTTTCAGGCCAGCGGCGAAGGGAATCGGGAGCTATGGATCCCACAAATAAGCCCCCCCCCATTGTACACAGCAACAGGATCCTCAGACGTTCAGACCAGCGGTGAAGGGAATCGGGAGCTATGGATCCCGCGGATAAGCCCCCCCGACTGTACACAGCAACAGGATCCTCAGACGTTGCTGTGGTTCAAATGATCAACCGCTGAAAAGCAGCATGTGGCACTTTGGTCTTTCTACTTTAAAAAAGCAGGATGAACACAACTGGAGGCCGCCAGAAGGAAGGGTGTGACATTTTAGTTAGAAAAGAGACAGGGTTAGCAATACAAGCAATGTTTTAACCACTCCTTTTTGGCACACACAGAGAAAAACACAACAGCTGGATAAGTTGGGAGTTGCGTTCAGCGTGAACTCTCTCCCAGGATAAATCTGTCCCTGTTTTCCTTCTGCATTTGTTTTTTTAAAAAAAGATTTTCTGACAGTGTTTACATACCAAAAGATTCACGGATTCAATGACATCCAGGAAAACCTCATTTTTCCGGTATTTGATCCCTTCTGACCTCCACGACACAGCGTTCGTCACCGTGGCAGGTGGACGTGGTGCTCCGGTTTCCAGCTTATGGCCTTCTTGTGTTATATACCTTGATGCGAACAAGGACAAGTTGGGGGTGTAAAAATCTGAGTCCTGGAATGCCCCCAAAACAGGTCTAAAAACTTTACTTCCAGTAACTCTGGAAGTACCTTTTGCTACTTGATTGCCCAACCACCAGATACGTACTCTTGTAAGATCTTGCTGTCCGTGGTCTGAGGGTAGCCAAAATCCATCAACTCGTCCAGGAGTTCATAAATTATCACAAAGTTATCCCGAATGCTTTCTTCTTCCAACTCCTTAAAGTATTCAGAAAAAACCTGAAACACGGAGGTCGGAAAGAAACGTAAGATTTCTTAGGCTCAAATAGCTCAAGGAGTTGTTCCTAATAGGAAAAGCACAACATTTACAACAAACACAATGGACACCTATGCCCTTGTAGTCTTCAAACCCTTAGGCTGCTGTTCCCTACCAGCGAGATCTCTTTCTGCCTGTCTTCCAACCACCAAACATGCTGAGTAATCTGTATAACCTAAATACTTATATTGTTATTTCGACCACTCCAGTCAAACGACTGCCACCAAGTCAACACGGAAGTACAGACAGTAACAGGTACAGAGCGGGGTGTCGGTTCAATAGACACCGTGTCGTCAGATTAAAAAACGCGAATACAAAATTACGAATACCTCTACTGAAATGCTTGATTAAAAACAGGACCTAAAAAAGATTAAAACGCACACTCCCTTCCGATAAAAATATCAAGTTGTTTCAATTCATTGTGTGGGTCTTCGAATATACTTGCTTTAACTCCTGGGCAGCCAAGGCGAATCTTGCCACTCTGCCTATTGCGGCTTTGTGAACATGTGATGACAGATACAGGGTTTTATTGCAGTCGCTTTGATCCAGTATATTTTGTAGCAAAAAACCCCCACTTTTGCCCTTGGTCTAGTATAGAAGGATCAGTGCAGTAAACGTTGCTTGTCCTCTACTGCTTGTGCTCCCCCATATTCAGAAGTGCGGAATAGAGAAACCCTCACAGTGCAAACTAGCCAATGAACACCATGCTCACCTGAACCACCTTGTATAAAAAGGAAAACACCAGAGAAACACACGCATTCTTCTTAGAGGTTGCAACCACTGGGACCCCGTGTTAAGGAACTTGCTGTGTTTTATGTATTATTATCTGCCTATTATCGAGAGCATTTGTTTATAGCATGGTAGGATCCACGGTCTGAAAATATCAAAGGAAAAATCCCAACGTATGTATATTTTAACCATGAGGTTAAAACTTCAAACCTGCTCCTGTACATCTGAAGATCAACGACCTGGTCCACTGCAGTGCTATATGACAGTCAGGCTTCTACGATCTGCCAGATCAAGATCTGATGATCCACTTCTCTGCTGCCAGAAAATACTAAATAAAATATCTATGGATATGTGTTCCCAGGGTGTATTTACCAGAACTGGCCATTAGAGAGAGCCCAAGACCACGTAATGCACAGTGTTTGCTATTATCCACGTTTGTTGGCATCTGCGGGAGGGGGCTTGGAACCGATCCCCCCCTGAGGATCCCCCCAGTCCTGCCGTGTTCTCCACCCATTGGGTCAGCCAAGGATACGGTACAAGTTGTTGTGCTTAATCCACATAAAGCGGACCCCTCCGTGGGCTAAGATGGGGGACAGCGTTCCTTCTTCCTCCTTCTCCATAAGGATGGGCATGAAATGCTCCACTTCCGACATGTCCACATCTCCGCGGTAGTTTCTGCAGATGAGGACCTAAAAATCGAGAGAAGGCAGGAGGGGAGCCCGTCAGCCATGGTTCAACACCAAGAGGTCTGTCTGCTCCTGGCCCAGTCTTCATGTGGCGGGGAACGGGAGCAAGAGAAGAGCCCGGATCTGAACCTTGAGCCCCTTTTTTCCCCCTTACCTGTGTGTTCCCTGAGAGTAACATATTTTAAAAAATGCTATTTTCATTGTAGTAAGCCGCCTTTTAGGGAGAAAGGTGGGGTAAAAAAGGTGTTAAATCGAACCCCACGATCTTGTGCAAGAACGTTCTTTATTGACCTCCTCATCCTCACCATCATCAAGGTTCGGTTTCTTTCATTGAGAGCCTACCTTTCTTTCTTCCACTGCCAGGACCAAAGGCGGCTCCCAACAAGATTGAAAACGCCTGAAACCAGCGACTTCCCACCCCCACTTGGGTGACCGAGATGTTCTTGGACTACAACTCCCATAAACCGCCGTCACTAGATGGCCTGGCTGGGGGGGACCATGGGAGTTGTAGTCCCAGAACCACCTGGGGGCTCAGGCTTCGAGTCCACTGTTTTTTCCTCCCACCCCCACCCCAGATGTTCTTGGGATGACGACTCTCATCGATGCCGGCCAGCCCAACTCCTGGAGAAGGCTCATGAAGTAGTCCGAGAAGGTCTCCCGGCCTGAGACGATTTGCGGGGGGGGGGAGCCTCAGGGGTAGACTGCGCCTCCACCGGGAGGCTCCATCACCCTCCTCCCTCGCCTCCGTCCCCCCTCCCCCGCTCACCTTGCCCTTGAGGTCCAGCACGTAGACGGCGCTGGCCGACATCCCGAGCGCCTGCCTCCAGGGCCAACCCCGGACCCCACCGGCTTCCTCCGCGGCCTGCCTTTCCGGCCAGGCCTTCCGTCCGGTGAAACGGCCGCTCTGGCCCGAAACACGAACTCAGAGAGCCGGCTTCCGGCCGGGGCCCCCTCTCTCCCACCGGGTGACGACTCCGCCAACGGGCGGCTTCCGGGTTCCTGAGCGACGCGGCGGGCGGCCAATGAGGATTTTTCCCCTCCGTCCTTCCTGCTCGGCGAGGGGCGGCAGGGCGGGGCGACGGGCAGGTGGCACCTATGGGAATCGGCGCCATTCCGAGGGACAGCGGCGCGGGCCAACGGAGGATGGGAGGGGGGGGCTAGACGGGCGACCGCGGTGGCCAATGGCGAGCCGGCTTTCTGCGCCCGCCTCCCCCTCCGTCCCCGGGGCTGCAGGAAGATGGCGAAGACCTACGACTACCTCTTCAAACTGCTCCTGATCGGGGACTCCGGGGTGGGCAAGACATGCGCGCTCTTTCGCTTCAGCGAGGACGCCTTCAACGCCACCTTCATCTCCACCATCGGTGCGCCGCCCGCCGTCGCCATGGCAACAGCCGCTCCCCCCCCCGCGCCTCTCTTATCGGCGGTCCAGGGGCGCTCCCCTCCCTGCGAATTGACAACCTTCAGGCTGCTATTCCACCGGTGGGGAAGGGGGAAAGAACGGGGTCCCGACCTCGCTGTCCCCTTGGGGCCCGCGGGCCGCCTGTTTTAGAGGAGGTTCACGAGAACGGCGGTCACCCGTATCCGCGGGGGATGAAATCCCGCCTCCCAGCCCCTCCCCTCGCGGATGCCAAAACCCGCGGATTCGAGCCAACGCTCGACCTGGATGGCCCTCATCATCGCGCCCTCCCTACGATCCTCCAGGCTCGGATAAGCTCAGAAAGGGCTCGGTGGATGAAATTAATTACAATTGTCTTCCACCTGTTTTTGGCAGGCATCGATTTTAAGATCAGGACCATCGAGCTGGACGGCAAGAAGATCAAACTGCAGATATGGTAGGAAAAGGCGGAAAGAAGAGCTGCTCAAAAGCCTCTCTCTAAGGCCCATGAGTGTTCCGGGACTACAACCCCCATCACTCCTGGCCCTGGGTGGTGGAGGCTGCTGGGAGCTGTAGTCCAAGAACAACTGGGGAGCCCAGGTTCTAGTCCAGGCCCTTGTGGGCTATAACTCCCAGAAGCTTCCACCACCCCGCTAGGCGGGGCCGGGATAGATGGGAGTTGTAGTCTGAGAACATCGGAGGGGGGGGCGAAACATTCTGGTTTGGGGAACCCCCTGGCCTAGAGCCCTTCAGACAATACCATTTAGCCAACCCCGACCCACCCACCCCTGAATGGGGCTTGAGAATTGTTCTGTCGGCCACTCGTCACCTTGTCTCGTAAAAATTCCCCCCAGGGATACAGCAGGGCAGGAGCGCTTTCGGACCATCACGACCGCTTACTACCGAGGAGCGATGGTGAGTCCCCATCTTCGTTGCTCAGGGTCGGGACCGAACCGCTTCTGGCATCTGCTCACTACTTCAAGGGCCTGACTCGCTTCCGTTATCCTGTCACACCACCTGAGGCATACAGGAGGACCCCCCCCCCAGATTCGCAGGGGATCAGTTCCAAGCCCCCCGTGGATGCTGAAACCCGTGGATATCTGGAACCCTATATGTAATACAGTCTCTGGCACTCTCTAGCGGCCAGTTCTGGTAAACATGCCCTGGAAAACGTAATACAGTCTCTGGCACTCTCTAGTGGCCAGTTCTGGTAAACATGCTCTGGAAAAAGCCCATTACAGTACTTGCAATTTCCAGGTTTTTTATTTAGTATTTTCAAGGCAGTGGAGAATCAGCAGATACTGATCCCACGGATAAGGGGGTCCTGCTGTATCCGATGACTATACTTGATTTGGTTGCAGTTTTTCACCTTTTCCTTTGGCTACTTCTCTTCAGTTTCCTCAGACCTCAACTTCTGCACTATTCAACTTTTCCTCCTCTTCCTGTTTCTGCGCGGAACCTCTGTTGTATTCAGACTTCTAGATTTAAGCCGTACCTTTCTCTGTTCCAGCTTTCCTTCTTTCTCCCTCTTCGCTCCAAATGATTCCTTCTGCTATAAGCTGTCCCACTGAAAAAAGGTTTTTTCCTCTGTGCCTTCTGCCTACCATCTTTCTGATCACGTTTATCTTCCTTTTCGAATCTGTGAAGCCCAAAAGATCTTCCGCGGTGGATATCCCCATCCTTGCTGGTTTTTTGTCTCTTTTTTTGTCCTTCAGGGCATCATGCTGGTCTACGACATTACCAATGAGAAATCGTTTGAAAACATTCGGAACTGGGTCAGAAATATTGAAGAAGTAAGGTCCCCCGCTCGGAGACTCTACTCCTCAATTCTGTCTTCGGCATTTTCTAGTGAAGGCGATCCCATTGCAAGCCATGGAAATTCTTCCCTATGCCTGAGGCTGTGGAAATGCTCTTCTACACTAAGTAGACAGTACAGTAGGACTCTCCTATCCGCAGGAGAGCGGATCCAAGTCCCTCAGTGGATTCTGAAAAGTGTGGATAATAGGAAACACTACAGTATTCTGTTAGTAAATGCTCTACATAGCATGGTCTTTGACTCCCTCTTGTGACCAGTTCTGGTAAATACATCCCAGAAATACATAGAAAGAGGTATTTCTGGGTTTTTTCATTTAGTTTTTTTCAGTCCCTGGAGCAGAGAATTAGTGGATACTGATTCTATGGATACGGGGGTCCTACTGTACCATAAAAAGTTTTGCTTATGAGCTAGTGGAATTGCTTTATCATTTGGTTAACAATAGGAAGGAGGTTGCCTCCTTTTAAGGAGAAAGACAGGGGTAAAAATATTGTCGACGAATGAATGAATGAACGAACAAATCAGCTTTATAGAAGAGTCAGATGTTTGGCCGTTGCTCACAAATGAGGCCAGGATCTCGTTTCCTTCCCAGCACGCATCACCAGACGTAGAAAAAATGATCCTCGGAAACAAGTGTGACATGAACCACAAGCGTCAGGTTTCCCTGGAGCAAGGGGAGAAGGTAAGAAGGCGGTCCTTTGCCCACTTTTGAGGTTCGAGTTAAGCCTTCCAACTTTTATTGAGATGACTCCAAGAAAGCACCAAAAATGTTCCTTTGATCCAGTTATCATCTTAGATCGACCGGGAGCCTTTCTCAGTGTTGGTCTCCTCAGCAACCACCTTGGGATGAATATTGGGGCGCAAGGAGCTGTAAACACAGCAAGAAAAGGCACGCTCGGTCCCAGATCCTGCTGTACGTCACTGATTTGGGTTCTCCTATTTTTTTCCTCCTTCCAGCTGGCTATGAGCTTTGGGGTTAAGTTCATGGAGACGAGCGCGAAGGCCAACATCAATATAGAAAATGTAAGTGCAGCCTGCGGGATCGGTATCCGCGGATTCCCTTATCCACGGTTTTTTAAAAAAAATTAAAAGACAAATCCTAAAAATGTCTCTTTCTAAGAGGAAGTGAACAGAACTGGCCACTGGGGGGAGGGTTCCAGAGACTATTCTAGGTATTGCATTCGCTATTAAAACAATACCCACGTTTTTCAGTATCCACAGGGTGGCAGAGTCAATCCCCTGCAGATACGTGGGCCAGACTAGAAAACTGCTTTGTAAAACATTTTCTGGTCCCGCCTGCACATACACATGGAAACGTGACCTAATCCTGCGTGGGTTAAATCTCTAGTTTTGAATTAAGATTACTTGCGGAATGCACAAAAAGTTCTTTTATTTCCTGGTCCTAAAGATGATATTTTTGGCTCTCTCTGAACACAGCAGCCACAGGTACTGAGAGAGGGCGGTTTATCAGAGGAGCAATTCTTTTTAAAAAGAAATATTTTTGTATTCTTCAATTCTAGGCATTTTTTACTCTTGCTAGAGACATCAAAGCAAAAATGGACAAGAAATTGGTGAGTTTAAACCAGTATGACATTGCCCACCGGAGAAACCTCAGGGTCTCCCCCAACCCAACTGTCTTCCCAAATAGCAGAGCAGTGAAATCTGCTAGTTCTGCACTGGCCAAATAATTTATCGCCTTGTTTCTCCCTCCTTTACTCACTGAGGAAGAGAGCAAAACACCACTGTTTTTTTAACTGTAAAATTGGCCCACAAAGTAAGCAGGTATTTCCACCACTGGATTTGGGTCCCTGCCTTGAGCAAGGGGTTGGACTGGATGGCCTTAGGGGTCCCCCCTTCCAACTCCGCGATTCTAGGGTTTGCAACTCCTGTAAATCTCTCTTTTTTTTTTAAGGAACTGAATAGTCCTCAAGGCATCAGCCAGGGAGTCAAGATCAGCCCGGTCCCGGAGAAGAAAACCAGTTTTTTCCGATGTGACCTCCTCTGAGGATGTCGCCTTACTGGGAGCTTCTTCTCAGCCTTTCCGGGTTGCACCTGCTTGCAGACGGGTTCTGGATCTGACCCCCACACACACAACACACGACCTGTGGTCGGCACCAGGCCCGCAGCTACGACAGAATGAAGAAAAGCAGCTTCCGCTCCCCCCCAAGTGATTGACTCACCTGCCTCGGGATCCCTTCCACCCGCCTGAAAACATGGGTGGCTCAAGGATGTGGGGGTCACGGAATGGGGAACTTTCGGATCAAATTTCTCTCTCGCTCCGGGAGGCCTTTGATTTGGCGGAATAACTGTAAATCTGTGATTGAAAGAGATAACAGGATGTAAAAACGGGTACAGCGTCGAATTTTGTAACGGATCAGCACCTGTCTTCTTTCCAAAGCCAGAAATCTCACTTATCTTTGTGTGGAGGAAGGCTGTCCTCTTCGCCAGCTTGGGGTACTTCTAGGCACTCCCATTTCGGAAGTGCCGTCTGGAAATAAAATTTATTTTTGTAGAGAAACCAAATGATGCTCTTACCTGGTTTTTTTGGCATTCTGGTGAAACCCCTGAAGGGCAAAGGTGATCAGAGCGGAATAGCTTCAAGGTTCCTCCCGAGTAGGCCACCCCTTTTGCAAGGACCGATTCGAACTCTCCCACCGACATCTTTATTCGCTGAGCTATCCCGACATTATAAGGGGAAGGAAAACCCTGGGTTCAGATATGTTTGCAATCCGTGTGTGTGTGTGTTTGCTGACTTTCTGGTGCAAATTCTTGCTCGGCCGTGGAAACCGCTTGTTGGGGCGAGAAAAGGAAGGCTTGGGGGGGTTGGGGGCAGAAGGCGATTGTCTCGACCTTGGGAGCGTTGGCACGGGTGCTGAGCTTTAATCATCCTCATCACCATCAATAACATGGCTGTCCGGTTGCCACCCTTTCTGGGGTTTGTCAGGTAGAGAAGACACTCAGAGGTGTTTTTTCCTGCTTTCCCTTCTTCCGGGTTGGCCCTGGGATGATGGCGTCACTTTTGCCCAAGGCTGCCCAGGCTGACTCAGATGTCCGGCGGGGAGATTCGAACTCCCAACCTCTGGCTCAGCCCTCAAAGCCCCACCTGAGAAGGTCCTCTCTCTCTCTCTCTCTCTCTCTCTCTGTGTGTGTATAGAAAGAGAGAGAGAAAGAGAGAAGAGAACACAGAAAAAGTATAAAAAGTAAATGTACAATAATAAAATGTAAAACAATAAAACAACAAATGATTTAAAAAATGGCAAGTTAATAGCAAAAACAAACGGGTGGTGCCTATACAAACCCTATTTTACACTCCATTTTACATTATTTATTGATAGGTGTGTTTGTGTAGCTATAGCTGCAGTGTAAAAACCCAGTGTTTATTCACCCCCCACCCCCACCGGCCTTTCTGATCCAAGGTCCCGAGGGAGACTCTTTTTCTCCCCATCTCGCAGGGAAATCTAGAGACGTCTACCTTTTTTTTGCCTATCTCTAACCGCCCGGAAGTCGGAGCCGCTCTGGGCGGTACGTGGCTCTCAATGGCAGAGGAGGCTCCTCCTTCCGCGGCCCAGAGGCCCCGCCCACCCGCCTTCCTTCCTGCTTGCCTGCCTGCCTGCCTTCGCTCGGAGGCGCTCGGTTATTTCCGCCGATCGGGAGGGCGTCGGGGCTGGCCGTGGAAGCCCGGGGATGTCGTCGGAGTACCAGGCCGTCCAGCGGGGCCCGTTGCGGCTCAAAGGGGGCGTCGAAGTGGGGTCCGCGGCCAAGCGGTGAGGGGTCCCCTCCGCCGGGGTTTGGGGGGGGTGTTCGTTGGCGCGGTTGCTTCGATCCGCGGTTAGGAGGGTCTTCTCCTTTCCTCTGAGCTGCTACGCCCCGCCCCCTTCCTTCACGCTCCTAGAACGGGTGGAGGGTTTGCAGGACGGAGAGTCAAGCAGGACCCCCTGATCCGCGGGGATCCCTTCCAGTCTCTCCCCGGCCGCCGCGGATACTGATAACAGCGGATTAAGCCAACGCTGGACTCTTTACGGTCTCTTGCTCCCTGTAGTGGCCAGCCCTGGCAGTGTCACCTTTAAAAACCTTTTATATTATTTTATCTACTTATATATTAAACTTCTGTACTTACCGCTCATTGGGCTATTGGAGGCCACTGTAGATTTTAAATATTGTTTAAAACTTGTTATCATGTCTTAATTTCATTTAAAGGACTTGATTGGCAGCGTTGGTTGACGTTGTTGTTAAAATATACAAAATGCAGTTTTAAAATAAAATCGGTTCACAAAGCATATCATGTGGTTATACAGGTGGT